CCCCCCCCCCCAGGGAGGGGTCCTCAAAGGGGAAAAATCTGCTCTCTCTCTCTAATGGGAAAAAATCAGTTCAATTCCTGAGTTTGTTCTTCCAATATCTTCTTTTATTTCTTTAAACATATTTCTTTAAACATATTATTTTGTGATATATGCCACATAATTCTAACATTTGCAGTTAATTGTTTCTGCTATTCTCTTGCCTATGATCACTTGTTTTATTGTGCTTGATAATTATTTAATTGCTATTTCATCTTGCTTGGAATTTAAACTGTGAAATTCTTTGCAGCCTGGATTTAAGTGCCTTTCTCCAGAGGGGATCTGTGTTTATGTATATTTTCCAGGTGCAGGTGTGATACTCTTTGAGGGTCACATTAAATGACATTGTTGGCTTTGTATTTTTCAAGCCTCACAGGCACTGTGAATTCTGGCCTAAACCCTTGAGAGTGTGTTGACTGGTTAAGGATGCTCTTGGGATATATTTTTCATTCTTTCAATTCTATTACCTCCTCTTCTTTTTCTTCTAGCTCCCTATCTGAGGGTCTAGTGTTTTAAGGGTCCTGGCTTTGTGCAGAGGTCTCATCTGATCTACAGCTTGCTCTGGCCCAGTTTGCCTTTTATCACTGAGGATTTTGAGGCCCATTAAAATCTTTATGTTTTGGTTCCCAGGGATTGGGTGATGGATGCAAGGTATATTCCAGGATACATTTATTTGCAACTTGCCTTTTACTCTTGTGATATTGTGATTGACAAGAAATATAGATTCTGCCCATGAATGTGGCTTCTCCCGCATGCTGAAGGAGGGCAGCATCCTCAGAATATCAGGGAGAAACATTGCAGTGGGTTTGGAACAACATGGGGCTGCATCAGCACTGACAGAAGTTTGGTTTCCTGAGGACCCACTGGGGAGACACTACTAAGGGAGGAAAAGGTAACCAGGGAGACTCTGCCACTGGGCTCACAGGACATCTACTACATAAAGCCGCTCTACTGAGACTGGGAGACACAGCAGCTCCACCTAATACATAAAAATAAAAACAGGAAGGCAGCCAGAATGAGGAGACAAAGAAACATGTCCCAACTGAAATAACAGAACAAAACTCCAGAAAAAGAACTAAACAAAATGAATACAAGCAATCTATCAGATGCAGAGTTCAAAACACTGGTATTAAGAATGCTCAATTAACTTAAGGGGAGAATAGATGAACTCATTTATGATCTATTAAGATAGATAGAAAGCACAAAATGGAGATAGAAAGCATAAAAAAGAGCCAGTCAGAAATGAAGAATATATTAGAGGAAATCAATAGTAGATTAGATTAAGCAGAGGATTGAATCAGCAAGTTGGAAGACAAACACCCAATGTGAACTGCAAAAAGAAAAAAAAAATCCAAAAAATGGATTTAAGGGGCCTCTGGGGCAACATGGAGCATACCAACATCTGTATCATAGGTGTACTGGAAAGAGAAGAGCAAGGGACTGAAAACCTGTTTGAAGAAATAATGACAGAACACTTCCATAACCTGGTGAAGGACATTGACAGAGAAGTCCATGAAATGAAGATAGTTCCAAACAAGATGAATCCAAAGAGGCCCATACCAAGACACATCATAATTAAAATGCCAAAGACTAAAGGCAAAGAGAGAATCTTAAAAGCAGCAAGAGAAAAGCAGGTAGTTACGTACAAGGGAGCTCCCATAAAACTGTCAGTTGATTTATCAACAGAAACATTTCAGGCCAGAAAGTATTGGCATGAAATGTTCAAAGTGATGAAAAGCAAGGACCTACAACCAAGATTACTCTACCAGCAAATATACCATTAAGAATCAAAGGATAGATAAAGAGCTTCCTAGCAAAAAAAAAAAAGAAAAAGAAAAGAAAAGAAAAAAGAGCTAAAGGAGTTTATTACCATCAAACCAGTATTACAAGCAATGTTTATGGGCCTGTTTTAAGAAAAAAAGAAAGATAAAAATGGCAACAACTACATACCTATCAATAATTACTTTGAATGTAAATGGATTAAATGCTCCAATCGAAAGACACAGGATGGCTGAATGGGTAACAAAACAAGACTCATACATATGCTGCCTATAAGAGACCCACTTCAGAGCATTTGAGATCTTGCTCCCTGGCATATATCCTCAGTTTGGCTGAAATAAATTCATAAAAATTCAGAGAGAGAAAGAGAGAGAGAGACTGACTCACTTCAGAATGAAAGATACACACAGACGGAAAGTAAAGGGATGGAAAGATTTTTCATGCAAATGGAAACAAAAAAAAATAGCTGTGGTAGCAATACTTATATCAGACAAAATAGACTTTAAAACAAAGGCTATAAGAAGAGACAAAGAAGGACCCAGCAATTCCATTTCTGGGTATTTATCCAAAGAAATCCAAAACACTAATTCAAAAAAACATACGCATCTCTATGTTCATTGCACCATTGTTTTTACAATGGCCAAGATATGGAAACAATCTAAGTATCCAATGATAGATGACTGGAAAAAGAAGAGGTGGCACATATATATAATGGAATATTAGCCATAAAAAAGAATGACATGTTGCCATCAGCAACAACATGGATGGACCTGGAGGGTATTATAAGTGAAATGGGTCAGAGAGGGAAGGACAGTGCCATGTGATTTCACTTATATGTGGAATCTAAAAAACAAAATAAATTAACAAACAGAAACATTTCATTCATATATTCAAAAAACATTTTGATGATTACCATATGGAAGGGGGTTAGAAGGATGGGTGATAAAAGGGAAGGGATTAAGATGTGAAAGTTGCCAGTTAATAAAAACAGTAATGAGGATGCAAGGTACAGCCTGGGGAATATATTCAGTAATATTGGCATAACTACATATGGTGTCAGATGGGTATGAGATTTACCAGGGTGGTCACTTCATAAGTTACATAAATGTCTAATCAATGTGTTGTACCCCTGAAACTAATATAATATTGTATATCAACTTTAATTGAAAAATAAAATTTTATTTTAAAAAATGTTTAAAAAGTATGCATTTGGTCATTCAAACAAGCAAAATATATTTGTTATATATATTTGGTCTTCATCCACAGTTCTTGGCTCACATCTCCCCAAACCCTTGGAATTCTTTACCTGTATATAAATTTTGAATCCAATAGTATGAGTCCTTCAACTTTGTTCTTATTCAAAATTGTTTTGGTATTTTTAGGTACTCTTGTTTTTCCTGTGAGTTTTACAATCTGCTGGTCAATTTCTACAAAGAAGCCTACTTAAATTTTGATTAAGAAGCCTTTGATTCTGTAGATACATTTGGGGATAATTGGCCTCTTAACAATGAGACTTCTAATCTATAAACATGATATATCTCTCTATTTATGTGTAACTTTTGATTTCTCTTATCAAGATCCTATATAATAAAAGCCTAATATGGTAAGTATCTGGTCGTCTGGTTGGCTGTTCAACCAATCAAAGCATAATATGATAATGATATGCTATGGCCTCTCAACTGCTTGCTATGATGTGCCCTGACCACCAGGGGGCAGACACTCCTACTGATAGGTTAGCTTGCTGCTGGGGTCTGGCCAATCGGGACTGAGCAAGACAGGCTGGACATGCCCTGGAGCCCTCCCGTGGTCCCTCCCCAGCTGGCCAACCTCCCATATCCCTCCCAGGCCCCGATTGTCCCTCAGCCTGGCCTGCATCCTCTCGCAATCCAGGACCCTTTGGGGGATGTCAGAGAGCCAGTTTTGGCCCGATCCCACAGGCCAGGCCGAGGGACCCCACTGGTGCACGAATTCATGCACTGGGCCTCTAGTTTCATATAAATATCTTGTCCCTTCCTAAGACAAGGCCTGGGCTCTGAGGAGACATCGACATGCCCCCACCTCATCTGTATCTCAGGCATCTCGACTTAAGCTGTCTCTTAATTGGCTCCTTGATTGTCACCCATTCCCTGGAATATGCTCCTATCAATCTTCCATTTCAGTGAATTTCTTCTACTTAGATGTTCAAGCTGAAAAACTGGGCATTACCCTTAAGAGCATCCTGGTCCCTCTCCCAGCAGCCAGGAACAACTCTGCCTCCAAAACATATTTTGAATTCACCCACTTCTTTCCATCTATACATTCTACCATCCTTGACTCAGGTACCATCTCCCACCTGGATGATTACAGAAGCTTCCCAATTGTTCCTACTCCTACTTTTCTGCCCTGCCTCCCACACAGGCATTTTCTACCCAGATTGGTCTTTAAAAAAAAGTAATTAATAATAATAATAATAATAATAATAATAATGTAAATCTGATCATTTTACTGCTCTGCTTAAAACCCACCCAGGTTTTTATAATAATGCTCTTACAGTAAAATCATGATCCCTTCCGCAGGCTTTGCCTGCTGCTCCCACTCACCTTGTGTCAATCAAACACATTGAGCTGCGTTGGGTCCTGGCGATGCTGAGCTCTTTTCAGCTTCAGGGCCTTTGTTCTCTTTCCCCGCCTGGAATGGTCTCCCCACAATCTTTGCCTAGACAGCTCCCACTTACCTTCAGGTTTTATTTTAAATGTCTACACGGAGAGGTCCCCTTATTCCTTTTCATAGCACCCTGATCTTTTAACAATTGTAATGTTTGGCTGTTTATTTACCAAACAGCCCAGTTTCCAGGTGAGCTAGCCGAGCCATTTCACAGACGCTGAAGTGAAGCTGTTGAAGGGCCAGCGATGGGAATTCCAGATGACACGGCTGCATCATCAGATTGGAAATTGGAGAGTCTCCCCTGACCAGCCTGGACCCACAGATCTAGAATCTTGTGTGTTTGTGTGTCTTCTTCCGTAAGAACTGGCATTGGGGCCACCGCCTGTGGATTCGCTCTGGGGCCTGGGAGAGGTCCAAACCAGGCGACTCTGAGCTCAACTCTGTCCCTTTCAGCCCCGACCTCCTCCCAGCCGGGAAGTCTTCTCCCTGCATTTTGCTGGCTGAGGCCTCAGACACCCCTTTGTCTGATTTCTTCTCTCCAGGCCCCAGTCCCATCCATTCACTGTCGCCGTCTCCTGGCCACCTCAGCTGAGCTGGATGGGCGCCCTGAGGGGCAGGGGCTGAGGTCACGACGTGCCCAGCGCTCTGCAGCGCACCCTGCACCACAATCCGCCGGCACACGGGGGCCTGAGGTCGCACCCCGGGCGGGTGGTCTTGGCATCCAGGTCCCAGCTCCCCTTCTGCGCCTGGGGCTCCCCGGCAGGTCTCCAGAGGGGCCTGTGGGCGGGGAGGCGGCTGCTGGGCGCCGCCTGGGGTTCCGGACCGGCGATGGCAGCTGAGGGCTCAGAGCAGCAGGGACCGCAGGGACCGCAGGGACCGCAGGGACCACGCGGAGCAGTGGGTGGGTGAACGGGGTCGGGGTCGGGGTCGGGGGGCACTAAAGGGAGCCGAGGCGAAGGGCAGGGGGTAAGCTCCCGGGACCGGTGCCGGGACCCGGGGGAGGGCTGTGGCGGGGCTGGGGCGGGGGTGGGGAAGAGGAGCCCGAGAGCGGCTGGGGTTGGACCCCGAAAAAAGGGCTCGGAGACCGCTGAGGGGCGGGCGGCTCAGGGCCGCGCTGGACCGCCCTGAGGGCGCTGGGGTTGGAGGAGCAGCGGACCTCGGACCTCGGCGGGACGGTCACCCGCTGCTGGGCAAGGGCGGGGCTGCGAGACCGGCTGCGGAGGGGGTGGGGGTCGCGGTGGCCAGTGGGTCACAGCTCTGCCAACCCCAGACGCCTCCCAGGATGCTGTTCTCTTGGGCAGAGCGCGCGTCTCCGCAGAATGACCCCCCAGAAGGCCCCCCAGGTGCCCTCGAGGGCAGCCGCGCGGGTGGGCGCCCCCAGCGGTGCCAGCGGGGCCGGCTCACATCCCGCAGCCCGGACTCCACGGGTCCCTGTCAGTCGCTCTGCACCAACCCCCCGCCCCCCCCGCCCCAACCCCCGCCCCATCCCTCCTCCTCAGCTGTCCAGGCCCCGTGTCTGCTGGATTTATTGACAATACCTGCCCCTTGGGGCTGTGTAGGTCCTGAACCAGATACTCCGGGCCAGGTTGCTTGGTACTTGGGCCTGGTGTACAGTCTTCACTCCCTTCAGGCCGTATCACCCTTATATGTGCCAGGGGAGCAGAGTGAGCCTGGGGGAGGTTAGCTGAGCCCACAGGCCCTGGGGTTCAAACCCAGGTCAGTTCGAAGAGCCAGCCTTGGGTTATGGCCGAGGGCACCTCCCGGATGCCTGGCTGTGGAGGCGCTGGGGCCGATCCAGGCCTGTCCCCTGGAGCAGGTCCTCTCTCTCTCTGGGCCTCAGTTTCCACATTTGTTGGACAAACGTGCGCATGTTCTCCCAGACTGGGTCTGAGAAGGGAGCCTGCACAGCTGATCCCCCGGGCTGATGTAGGGCCGCGTGGTTCTCCCAGCTGGTCCCTTCAGCGCCGCTGGGTCTGCACTTGGGGTGGACAGTGGGGAGCGAGCCAGCTGTGAAGCCTTCCTGGGTCCCAGGGTTTGGGTTCCACGTGCCACCGGGAGCAGGCTGGCTGTGGCCCCCCAAGCGTGTTTGTGGAAGACAGGCTCAGGCTGAGGACCTCTTCCCCAACGCAATTTCAGGCAAGTGGTCTGGCTGGGAGCTGGGCTGGGGGCTGGGGTCCCTCAGAGCTCCCCTTGTTCCATGAACATTCCCTTCCTGCAAGCCTCACTGCCCCCAAACCTCCGTCCCTGCTCCCAACATGACCCCAAGACTGCTGGGCCCTGAGCTACTCCCTCCCTCACTGACATCTCTCACCTCCTCGGGGACCTCTGCAGCAACCCCACCTTTCTCCCTCAAATCCCAGCCCTGCAGGGACCCTGAGCCGGCTAGACCAGTGGAGAGGCCTTCTCAGAGGTTGTTAGGAGGTTTTAAAGGAGGAGGAGGAGGAGGAGGAGGAGGAGGAGGAGGAGGAGGACCGCTTGCTGAGGGAGGCAGGCCCAATGACCCCTTGCCACCCCCTCACTCTGTCTGGTCCATCCTCCTCCTAGTGCAGCGTGGAGCTGGTGGCTAGACGGGCCTGGCTTCTGGGAAGGCCACTTCCGAGCATGTCTGGAAGAGTACGCTGGTTGCTAGAAAATTTTGTGGTTGGACCCAGCCTCTGGGCAGGCCTCCTCCCTGAGCCAGACAGGGGCAGAGGGGGTGGCTCCTAGCTTGCCAGCGCGCACTACCTGGGATTCTCACATTCAAGACCAAGGAAGAGGCCGAGTGGCAGGTGTCCCCGCCGCCCTCGGTTGGGGGTGTAGGCTGAGCCTGGCTCCAGGACTGCATTGTCCCCCCACCTCCCAGGAATCTGCCACATTCCCGTGGAGCCTCTTGGCCTCCAGAGCTCTCTCACCACGTTGTCTCATGTGGCAAACGTGATGAGGCCAGGCTGCTGGGCCTGTTGACGGAAGGAGAGCCACCTCCTGGATGGGAAGGCTAGTGGGTGGGGAGGGTGTGTTCAGTCCCTGTGTCAAGGGGCCTGTCTGCCAGGGGCCAGTGGCGAGTAGTCTTGGTGCCCTAGTAGCAGGAGAGGAGCAAGAGGAAGCTACTGTGGGCAGGTATGAGATGAGCCCTTGCCTCTGAGTATCAACTCTGGAGGGAAGGGAAGGGGAGGGTATCAGGGCTTCATCCCCAGGCCATCTCAGGGAGCCCTGTTGTAGGGACACCAGGTCAGACCACAGGGTCTTTTCTCAGGCTGAAGCCCCAGAAGCCCTTGTGCTGTCCCAGGACATGGTGGGATTTGAACATGGACTATCCTGGCTGGAGCCACCAGACACCCTCAGCGAGGTCTGCAGGGCCAGGAGCCACCAGCCTGACAGGGCTTCCCCAGCCCCAGGAAACTCCTATCTGGTGTGGGGGTGGGGGGTAGGGGAGAGATCTCCCGTACCCAGGGCCTCCTCCCTCTGTTTCTAACCTGGCTCCTGCCTCCCAGGGGTTGAAACTGCCTCTAACCTCTTCAGCTCCCAAAGAAGAAAAGGCCCAGCCAAGACCCCAGTCAAATAAACCATTTTTTGTTGCCGTAGTTATTGACATCAGCTGGGAGGGCTGGGGACTTGAAAGCAGGAAACAACCTGGGGTAGGTTTTGTCACCTCTCATACACACACTGGCCACATCCGCAGCAAGCGGACCCTGGCTGGGTATGTGTGGACTTATTAGAGGCTTAATAAGAGGCGCAAACACCAATGGAAGGGCCCCAGAGGCCTGGGAGGGGAGGAAGGTGGAGTGAACTCGGGGCCCCTCTCATTAAATTCCTAAACGCCCCTCCATGGCTCTGGGCCCCAGAGGGTCAGGGAAAGGGATGAGGTTGGAACAGGTGTGGGGGGGCCTCTCTCCTGCCTGAACATAGAGTCCATTCTCAACGGAGATGAAACTGCTGCGAGCAGAGGCTGGCAGAGGTGCCCAAGGGGCAGGATGCTGTGCAGTGTGGTTGGGGGTCGGCTCCCACCTGGACAATGGCTGGGGTGGAAGGACTGTGTCCATAGCTGCCTGGCAGAGGTGGTTGGTGGAGACGGTGGCGTAGGGGATGTGGAGAGAGGCCAGGGAGGCTTGGCTGGCTGCCTGCAGGGGTAGCACAGAAAAAGGCCCAAGTGAGGTTTCCCCTCAGGCCCCCAGCTCCAGCCCACTCCGTTCCCTGCTCCAAAGTGATCCCTGGTCCTCACCGTTGCTTGTGTCTGTGTCGGGGGGCTGCTGAGGGGTCGCTGAAGCTTCGTGACAGACCTGGGAGAGAGTTAGGAGGGTCAGAAACAAGCGTACGGCTAGCGCTAGCCCAACGATGTGAGGGTTTAGACTGGGCCGGAGGGGGCTGGGTCTCACCAGTGCCTCTGCCGATGCAGCAGGTGGAGGAGGTAGACACAGCCAAAGAGGAGGACCCCTGAGATTCCCCAAATCCCGGCCAGGTCAGCCCGTAGAATAGGGGCTGAAGCAGGGGCAGGGAGCCCTGTGCACAAAGAGAGACGTACCAGATCCCCGGCCGATGCCCCGAGTTCCTCCCTGCCCTCCCTGAGCCCTGTCCTCATCAGCCCCACCTTGCTCTGTGAGGAGGAGGTTCCCACAGGCCTCCTGGGAGCCCTCAGGGAAGGAAGTAAACATGCAGCAGAAGGTAGTGTTGGGACCAAGGCTTCTCTCCTCAGACCCTTCCAGGGTAAGGGAGACGCTGGTTCTGGTCTCCCAGTGGGCCTGGTGGGCAGGAGGCCACTGCTGAGTGCCGAATTCTGGGTGCAATACAGCCAGCCTGGTCCCTTCAGCACCATCAGCCCCCACGCAGCTCACAGTCACCAGAGAGATAGTG